CTCTCTTGTTTCTTTTCTTCCCATAATTCATGATTTAGACTCAGGCACGTTTTTTTTCTTCCTCAATTTTTTTGAAAAACTGAACCATCACCATCTCAAAGAGGTCTATACTGTTTAGAGTTGGAGTTATTCATACCAATTTTGTAAGATTCTGTGGTGTCTTTCTGCCAGAATATAGAACCATGCATCAACCAGACATTTGAATGGTCCCTGATGCATATTTTGTGAAAATATTCCTGCCATTGTCTGGAATTGACTAGATATATGGGGCTCAGTCTGAAGGTTTGGAGTGTGGTTTTCACTAGGAAGAACTTCATGAAGTTGTATCCAATTAGAAATCCGATGGCACATCAGGAAACCAAGACATGGAACTTAAAGCACTTTTTCCTCTTCCCTTATTCCCTATCAAACACTGTGTAGCGCGGTCTTCAGATATTCCCTGCATAGTTTCAAACCTTTGTCAAATGTAGGATTCCTTTCACTCACTGGTCTTGCTTCCCAAGTAGCCATTTTTTTTTTTTTAACCTGGATGGGCTGCTCATTACATAAGTCTTCTCATGCCAATTGCTAATTCATTCATTTATTCCACAAACATTATTCAACACTTACTGCATACTCGGTGTGAGACACACAGAGATAACAAAAAAAATGCAGTTTCTGCTTTCAAGATGAGCCCTGTTGTTTATGGATGTCCATTCTACCAGACTAACAATGCAGTTTAACTTGGATTATAGTTTAGGGGTATTTGAGGCACAAGAAGATCTGGGACAGAGATGATTTATCCCACCTGGGGGGTGGGTAGTGGAGACAGGGAATGACAGAGAGAACTTGCCATCTAACAGGTTTATTTAGTAGAACAAACTAAATATAAAATGGGACTTTGTGGCTCTGAGTGCCTTGAAACCACCAGACTAACAGAACTCTATATTAATGTTTGCATCACATCAGGTTTCTAATTGGTTCTGTGCAAGGTATATACTGTCATTTCTCAGACTCTATGTCCCAAAAGGCTTTTGCATGATATCTCAATGTCATGTCATTTAGTGGATTTAAACCTTGAAGGGAGTCTTAGAATCAGTATCCAGGGGCCCTCTGGCATAGGACATAAAAAAGTAAGCAATTTTAAAATAGTGGTTATATCAAATTCCCACTTAGCCTAGTCTATAAACCACAAAACTCCTGTGTGGAAGCTGTATTTTGTGCACACTGATCAGTAATTAAATAAAGGTATCATTTTGTTTAAAAAATGCTCTTAACCACCTTGCAGTCACTTGACAACAGAAATTACCATTTTAGTTGAGACAAGCACCCTGCTCCTCATTAAACTCATTCATTTTGGAATTCTGGTATATTTCTTGCACAGGTGCCTTGCCAGACCTACTGAACGTTTCACGTGTAGCTCCTGGAGCCAGCAGTATGATTACAAAAGCCATTCTTTCTCTTTTGCCGTTCCAGCATTCCACATCCCCCGTTCCCCATTCTTCCTGTCTTTCAAGTTCCATTTCAAATGCTACATCATCCACAAAACCAACACATCCTTTTTCTTTCTTGAATTATAAATACTTATATAAAGTATTACGTTCTTTGATAGACTCCGAGCTCTTTGAAAGTAGGATCTAAGTCATCTTTACTGTTGAAATCTCTGTTTCACTTAGCATAGTACTTCATTGTTCATTGAAGGAAGAGATGGATAAGTCAATGGATGGATGGACAAATAAACACATAGATACACAGGTGACAGCAAACAGGAGCATGTAGCAAATGAAGTGGACTGTCGCTTGGTGTCTAAGGTGGTGATATGTACCTATTCCTGTTGATTACATGTTTACCAGCCAGGTAAAAACGCATGATCAGGCGGAGAAAAACATTTGGAACTGAACAATACTTGACACATAAATATACTCAGCCTGAAGGGTCTGATAAGTAGGAACCACACAAGGCTTACCTTGAGATTGTAAGAACAATCTTTATTTATTGTAAATTGAACTAATATAGACTGAGAGGGTCTGCAAAAAATATATAGCCTGGTTAGATCTTGACCAATTTTAAAAAGTATCTCCTAAATATAAACAGCCTAAAAGTTTTTCATAATGTTTTTTTTCATAATGGTTTAATAACATTTACTTTGTGATGATCAAGGAGCATAGTAATTATGGATTTAATATTTTTATATTTTGAAACTAATTTTAATCAGTATTTTGTTCCTTACATTCTGGTATGGTGCTTTAATATTCCAAAATCATCATAATAACTATTTGAGTAGAAGCAATGCATATAAAACCTAGTTAATAATAAAAATATTTTATCACGTGTTGGTTTTTCTGATGGGCTTATTTGGGTATTTCTCTTTGTTTTACTCACAGCGCGGGAGTTGGCCGGACTGGTTGTTTCATCGTAATAGATGCCATGTTAGAAAGAATAAAGCATGAAAAAACTGTAGATATTTATGGCCATGTAACTCTAATGAGAGCCCAGAGGAATTACATGGTTCAGACAGAAGACCAATACATCTTTATCCATGATGCACTGTTAGAAGCAGTGACTTGTGGAAATACCGAAGTGCCAGCTAGAAACTTGTATGCCTACATTCAGAAGCTGACACAAATAGAAACAGGAGAGAATGTCACAGGAATGGAGCTTGAATTTAAGGTACGGTATTGGACGTGATGTGGTTATTCAGGAGCAAGTCACTCCAGGATTGTCTTTGAGTAATGAGTTTCCTTTCTTAACCTTTCAAATGTATGAAGTACAAGATTCATTTGACCTCCTCCTCAGGTGTCTGATTATGAAACACTTTCTTCCTCTTTTCCTCTTCTATTCTTTGCTTCCTAACAATACCTTGAGCCCTTTTGTATCCTCACTTTTGTATCCTCATTTAAATGGAGAGATCGGACTCTCAGAACATAATATTTAAAAATTCAATAGGCTATATGAAGTAACTATGTAGAAGTGAAAAGCAGTGTAGTTTGAATAGTCATTTACTTTAAAGTAAACAAAAGGTTATATCTAAAAAGGACATATTGGGTACATTGCATTCAAACCATAAACTAAAATTATCTTTGTTGGACTTTTCTTTTTTCTATTCAACAGCGTCTAGCCAGCTCAAAAGCTCACACCTCAAGATTCATCAGTGCCAATCTTCCATGTAATAAATTCAAAAATCGCCTTGTTAATATCATGCCCTATGAATCCACAAGGGTATGCCTGCAGCCTATCCGAGGAGTGGAAGGGTCTGATTACATCAACGCCAGTTTTATTGATGGATATAGGTATATACTCTACCTATCCTGACAATTTAAAGCCTTGATATTTACATGTGCCCTAGTTTCATAACCAGAGAGAATTTCATCTCAATTCAAAGCCGTTTTCTTTCAGTATAGGTCAGCATTCAGTCCCTTGGGGTTTTGGGTTTTGTTTGTTTTTTTTTATGGATAGGAATAAAAAGCAGTAGTTATGGGGTTTTTAATCTGGCTTCCTGTACTCTTCGAGAAGCCATTTGTATTTGGAAGGAGTTAATAAAGAAGCTGTTTTGTACCATATTTCATAAATTTAATAGATTGTGTGAGAGTTATTTCTAGAAAACGAAACTGCACAACTAAGTATTTCTTAAGTGATTTGTATGACACATGAAATTGAGCTATTAGCATTGCGCTAAAATTCTGTATTCCTCAATAATCATGATAAAGACATACGTCATAATATTAACAAAGCAATTTCTTTTGCAGAGTCCTCAAAATGTATTAAATGACTTTATTTGATTATGCAATCTTAACAGGAATTTACCGCGATTACATTAATAATATGTTTTTATTTTCTATTACCAGATTTGATGTTTATATATCAAGTGTGAGCTTGCATGTTCTCTAAATACTTTAACAGGCTCTTTTCATTCTCTGTAATTCAGACAACAGAAAGCTTACATTGCTACACAGGGGCCCTTGGCAGAGACCACAGAAGACTTCTGGCGGATGCTGTGGGAACACAATTCGACAATCGTTGTGATGCTCACCAAGCTGCGTGAAATGGGCAGAGTAAGTGTGACACTCTGTGTGTCTCCTCATAAGACATTCACTCTGTGCAGGAATGGGGATTTCATTTTTATAACTCAAGTGCCAAGCATCATTTCTTTGAAATGCACAGTTCTCTCAACACAATCTGGACAATTCGTTCCTTGTCGTTTTCTAATATTTGTGTGTTTTGAAGAAAGAACTAGTGCTTT